GATCATTCAAGATGTTATTGAGATGATCCATGCTAGCAAGTGTGTAATATTTTTGTATCAACCAGCGTTTAAAAATTGGAAAGAATTTAAGGGGAATTGGCGAAGCAAGACAGAGAGAAGGAAGACATCTTTACGTCGCTCTTCATGGGACAAGTAATTCCTAAAATATGGTGTGAATAAATACCAATCAATACTAATCAATTTGTTAAGTTTTTTGTATCAGTAACAATGGCTCGAATCGGATTTGCTCGTAGCGGTACTCAAAAGGTACAATCGGACGAGATAAATCGCCGGAACAATTAAAAAACCGCTGAAAAAGTAAGTTGCTTTCCACCATCTTGGCAGCAAAAAGTATCTTGAACCCGAGCTGATAAATCTTGCTAAGGTGTATATAGTTTTGTTGGTGTGGTCCATTTATTTTTTTGGAGTATGGATGTAGTCATTGTACATGTTGGTTGTTAGCTTGATGAAGTGGATGTAGCGTGTGTAGCTTGTTGTAAAATGGTTAAGTTGGAGCAGTTTAGTAAAGTTTAATGTAAATTGATTGACCTGAGCTACAATTTAGTGTGATGTACTTGGGCTTACTATGGGGAAGTCCCACGGAATCACAGTTGGACTGATTGGACGTTCTCGTGGTGCGTCGCTGCAATTGATGATTCTTGGAAAGTCTGTTCTATTTACAGAAAAGTATTTGGAGCCGTCTGGACGGCAAAAGATGAATGACTTATTGTTTCACTTATCATGAAAGAGGATCATGGGCGTGTAAGTATATGTTACAAACATTAATATCACAAAGGACTCTCTCAACAAAAAGAGTTTGCCATTAATACTGGTAAGAAAATTCGACTATCTTTTGTGTAGTTAGGATAAACAATTTTAGTTTTTTATAAATGGTTTTGAATTACTTTCTACAAAGTAGATTCGAAAAGGAACATTGTTGGTGTATGTAAGAATATCAGTAACTAATGAAACATCGAAGTCAGAAAAACAACAGTTTTATGATATTGTGAACTTTTCCTCGCTAATTCACCAAAGATAAACATTTAGACATTGCGTGGTCAATCTATACCAATTTTCATATCATTATCATTTTTTAACAATGTTATCGTTGTTGTCCTTCAAGTAAAGAAATTTCTTAGCAGCTGAATTGTAAAAAAGAAGCCTGAAATTCGGATTATTCGGATTACTTATGATTGTTTGTTCGTGTCGATGAGTGATGCAAATATGCTTACCTTCGGTGAGTGGGTATTTCCTACGGAATCACGGTTGAACTGATTCGACGTTCTCGTGGTGCTTCGCTGCAATTGAGGATTCTTGGAAAGTCTGTTTTATTTACAGAAAAGTAATTAGAACCGTTTCGACGGCAAAAGATGAATGACTTATCGTTTCACTTAACCATTAACATCACAAAGGACTCTCTCAACAAAAAGAGTTTGCCATTAACGCTGATAAGAAAATTCGATTATCTTTTGTGTAGTTAAGATAAACCATTATAGTTTCTGATAACTTGTAAAGAATTGCGGTCTGCAAAGTGGATTTGAAAAGAAACACTGTTGGTGTTAGTTAACTAATGAAACATGAAGTCAGAAAAACAGTAGTTTTGAAAGTCTGTTCTATTTACAGAAAAGTATTTGGAGCCGTCTGGACGCCGAAAGATGAATGACTTATTGTTTCTTTTATCAATAAAGGTGGCTATAAGCAGTTTTGTGAGTAGATATAGGTTACAAACCATTGATTAACACCACAAAGGATTTTCTCAATAAGTTGTGAGATGGTACAAAACATTTTTCATTTCATCAGAGTTAATAACTCAAACAAAAGAACCATAACCCAACAACGTGACTCGAATTCTAGAGGCCTGGTTTTTTTCACTCTCTTTTTCCGCTAAATACTGAGAAACGTTACGTAATTTTGAAAAAAATGTCTAAACCCCAAGAAATTTTTTGAGATAAAAGTCTCATCCGACACTTGCGCAATATAAGGTGCAGTCAACTAAAGTCATTATGTCGGAATTAAAATAATAAGCCATTCAGCAATGTCATATCAAATCGGATCAAATCACATGTTCAAAATTGAATTGGAAAGTTATCTTCATCTGTTAACCTTTACGATTGATTTTCATCTTTTTTTAAGGCAGCTGCGTCACGACACGGGCATGCGCAGTAAGAACAGAGAAAAGAATGCCCCCAACAGGTCTATCGAAGCCTTTGCTGTCGAGTTTTGTGCCATTCCTTTTAATCCTGATAGCGTCTTTTAGGTATGTAATTTTTTCATTACACGTAAAATAAAAAAAAAATTACTTGGTAAATATAGCC